CAATTTCTTCTTGTACACTTTTTTGTATTAATTATGATTCCTTACCTGTTATTTATTGTGCAAATTCTCAAGCTTGGATGCGAAATAATATATTTTCTGATTGGTTAAAAAATTTAGACCAAAGATTTTGTATTCAAAATCATCGGGTCTTGTTACTAGTAGATAATGTCTCTTCATATTTTCATGACCAATCTAATATTGCTAACATTAATGAATTATGTGAATTAGATGAATAAAATTCTAATTCGGAGGAAGAGATATCTGATAATGATTTAAAAACTGAAATATCAACCACTTTATATGGGAATCATCAAGGTAGACCAAGATTAACTAATACTAATCAAGGTTCAAATAGTAGTAATTGTGGTAGTCGTGGTGGTCATAGTAGTCGTGGTAGTCATGGTGGTTGTAGTAGTCATGGTGGTCATAGTAGTCATGGTACTGGTGGTAGTATGGGCCGTTATAGTAGTGGCTATAGCTACCCACATTCTATATCTGATTATTCTAATGTACAATTAACTAATATTAAGCTTGAGTTTTTACCTCCAAACATGACAGCCCACTTTTAGCCTATGAATGCGGGCATCATTATAAGTTTTAAATCTAAGTATAAGCAAAAATATATTCAACATATTAATACAGTTTTAAAACAATGAAGATTTAAAAAAGTGAAATAAAAAACTTGCCTTAACTATATAATAAGTTTTATTTCTAATTATATTTAAATTTTATCTAATTATATTTTTAATTTTTAATTAGAAATAAGATAAATATTAAGGATGCTATTTACTATGCATCTGAGTCCTGGGATATCATTAAAAATTCAGTAATTGTCAATTGTTGGAATAAGACCAGAATTTTGCTATTAGTTTTTTATGAAGAAATCAAATTTACTGATCATAATCAAGATACAATATTAGAGCTAAAGGGTGGAACCAGTTTTAAATATTTGAGTTTATCACATCAAAATTCGAGTTTATCACTCCAAAATTCGAGTATTAATAATTAATATAATAAACTCGAATTTTGAAGTGATAAACTCAAATTTTGATATGATAAACTCAAATATTTAAAACTGGGTTCAACCTCTAATTAGAGCAGTAAGAACAAGATATCGACATGATAGTAGTAAATTTAACATCTCAAAATCCAATTGAAAACCAATTAAATGCATATTTAGAGCTTAATGATTTGAATATCTTAACTGAGGAAATGTTTGATGATTCTGAAATTATCAAAGTTGTATTGAATAAAGCGAATCAATATAAGCATGAAGATCCTGATGATTCGGATGAAGAAGAACCAGAAATTTCAATATTAGAAGGATTA